TGACTTATTTTATATTACATCTATAGCTCTTAAGTCTGGCGTTAAATGGTTAAATAGAGCAACAATAATAATAAAAAAGAGTTCAAACTAAATTCTAAATTAGTGCCTCATTCCAAAAAAAAAACAAACATACAAATCCAATAACTTGATAAAGTTATCATTTAATGTGACCATATTTTGGGGTGCTGGAGTTCACCATATTTTGGTGGTCAGGAGTTGACCTCCAGCCAGAGCCTAGTCAAGCAAAAACACCACCAGCACCCCGGGTGGATGGGACCCGTTAGCCGTGGATGGCAACTCATCTAAGAGAAGGAAACTCTGAAATTTGATTTGACAATATTTTGCGTCTGATCAAGAAAAAACAAATTCAGAGAATTAATGCTTCTTATCTTGAAAAGTTATAATATAAAAAAATAGAGCTTCCACAAAGAGAATATCCAAGTGTATGCTTGTATTTTGTTAGTTTGATTTCCATCTTTGCTCCGTCAAGTTTCATAGTAAAGAGTTCTGGTGGCCAGTAAATTCATATGCAGACCTATGACGACATGACTTATTCCGGATACAACAATTTGTGGAGGTTACAGCTTTCTGGTTAGACGAGACCACTAAATTCATACGCAGGCCTATGAAGACATGATTTTTTCTGATTAGACGTGGCCATTAAAATCATGTGCAGCCATGTGACAACATGACTTACTCACGAACACCCAATATGTTGAGGTTAATGCTTACATAATGTATTAATCATTGTTTTCATTACGAACATATTCGCGCTTCATATTGCCCAAGTATAACAAGACGTATTTTTTCAATCTATTAAAAAAAAAATAATATTGTTACAAGATTGAGTATGTCTAAGAGGGTATATTTCACCTGGGGCCCTCTGGCTAGTAAACGACAAGCACTCAGTTCTAAGGCCCTGCAAAAGAAAAGTTGGACCCAGAGCAAAGTCTGAACATGGCACCCCCGAGTTTCATAAATATATTAGACATGATACTAGTCAATAAACACGGATTTTTTCTCGGGTTTTAATTCAGAAAAAAACCAAAAAAAAAAAAACAGCAACACTTTACAGCGTTACCAGCGTACATGTTAAATTAGCGCCATCAAAAAGACTTGGATAATTTACACATACAAATTGAAAATGTTCTCCTAGACAAAAAAAAATATTTATTTAGAACTCTTGTAAATATTGAATTCGGGGCTCAGTTAACATTTAAGTTGAGCACAGCCAAAAAACAATGATTAAAAGACAAATTCAACTTTCAGAGGATGATTTATTATAAGAGGTATTCCATCAAATGCCAAAGCTATGATCGCTTTTTAATTAAAATAAATACCATCCAAATTCCAAGTGTACCAAATTAAGTTAAATTTTAAAACTAATTTAATTAAAATAAGAATGAATTTGCAAAGAAGGTGCCTTTTAAATGTTTACTATTAAAACCAACTGCGCCAAAAGCTAGAACTTCATTTTTGATATGTTACTGCAGGGAGTATTTTAGATTGCATAATGAACAAACGGTAACAAAAAATATTCTCCCATTAAAAACGCAAAAGGTAAAGGGTTTTATTGAAAATAAAATTGGGCTACTCACTACACAAAGAGATGAGGATCTTATTTGTTTGAAAGCCACCAATATTTTAAAAGTGTTTATGAAAAGTATACTTTGCAGAACTTCATACCCTCATTTGGAACCTTCTAGAAACTTCAAAAATATATATCTTTAAATTTGATTTCATAACATTTGGAGGAAAATTATAGACAGTTATAGAAACATTAGAAACATAAAAAGTAAATTATATAATCTTAGGGAAAAAAATCACAAGTTCTAGAATAAGGTAGACATTTTTAGGAAACTTCAAAAAAATATATTAACTGACATAACCTTTTAGATTCACCATTGAGATTTTCATAATCTACTTAGAACAATAAAAACTGTTTTGGAAAATTCTGTGTATTTCTTTCAAACCTTCAAATCAGGAAAACTAAGTTCAGAGACGCTTGAGTTACAAAATACTGCAGCACGCATTGTATGGCGGATAATGAAAGAGGACCACTTGACCCCGTTCTTGAAGATCTTCATTGGCTTACTGTGATTTTGCGCATTGACAACAACATTATATCCAAGGCTTACAGCAGTATAGAAGGCTCTACACCTGAATATCTTAAAGAAATGATTTCTAAACATGTATTCTTAAAGAATTTGCGCTCTTCACCACAGTCATTACTGAGAGTCCCCAGTGTGGATGGACACAGAAAGAAATCAACGAAGTGCGCTCTTTTGAAGTTATAGCGCCTAAATTGTGGAAAATTTTGCCCCAATCTTTGAAGGAAATAAAAAATGATAAAAATCGTTTAATAACCATTTAAAGATTTTTGTTGTTTAAATATATTTTAGGAAGTCAGTGATCTGTGAGCATGCTAAAATTGTATGGATACAAGCGCTATAAAAGTATTCAATCATCACCATCATATGTCTCTTCCATACTAACATTTTGCACCCACCGTAACAGAGCGACCAACGAAAGATAATATTTTTTTCCTGCTTCAAACGTAAAAAAATACTTTCTAAGCTATTGAACTAAAACACGTTATTTCAATTATAAATGTAACAATTAAAAAAAAAAATGCTTGGAGTTATTTGCGTCATAAAGCGACTCTCTCAGCTTATCTCGAAATATAATTTCTCATAATTATGAGAAATGTACTATTATAACCTATTCACCAAAATAAACAGTGTAATGAAACTCTCACATCTTGAACGCCCCCGTCCGTCCATAGAAACTCTCACATCTTGAACGCCTACGTCCGTCCATAGAAACTCTCACATCTTGAACGCCCCCGTCCGTCCATAGAAACTCTCACATATTTAACGCCCCCGTCCGTCCATAGAAACTCTCACATCTTGAACTCCCCCGTCCGTCCATAGAAACTCTCACAT